GAATGTAAAAGACAAAGGAGATTCAGGCTCCAGAAAGTCCATTTTTATTAAAGAAATCTGCACAGAAACAAAATCCTAAAACTGTGTGGTAAGAGAGAGAGATGCACAGGGAAATACAACGGCACGGCACGAGATGGGCGTGGTCAGGAAGCTCTTCTTGGAGGAGGTGGGGAAAGCAGATCAAGGACTTGGTCTTAGAATCAGGGTGAGTCAACCTGAAGATGCTTTTTGGTCACAAACAACAGAAGACTTAACTCAAACTGACTTGAAAAATAAAGTTAATTTATTTTCTCACGTTAACTAAAAGTCCAAAGGGTAGCTTGATATAGAGGTTCATCATGTCTTCAGGACTGGGGCTTCCTTTCTCTGCCATTCTTTCAACTCTGCTGTCCTCCCTGACTCAGTTGCTTGCTTAGGCTGGCTCTCCTTATGGAAAGAAAATGGCTGCAGCGGATCCAGGCCTAATACCCACACACCACACTGTCCAGATGACCCAGCATTCCAAGCAAAGCTTCTGAGATTCACTCTATTGGACTGGCTTCAGTCACGTGGCTGCTCCAGGTCCAGTTACGGTGACCAGGGGCGTGGAACACACTGACCATCTTAGCCTAGGTCATGACTCTAACCCTGGGGCTAGAGGTAGCATCAAATATTTGGAATGAATAAATGGATGCCACCAACATATGTCTGTTGTACATGGGAAGCCGAGTGTCTACCTGCACATCATGTGTGATACCATCATTCATCAGTACACAGTGGCATTGGTCACAGCTAGAGGAAACACCTGAGTCTTTAGTGAGACGTGTTATGACCAAGTATGGATAGAAGAGGATCCCAGCTTTTGAAAACCAAGAGGCAAAAGCCTATTCTTAAAGGAAAGACCATCCTATCAACATTTAATACCTTGGCTGCTGAGATACAGTAAACCAGATCCTCACCTGACTCGGCCAGACACCCCATCTTGTTGGAGAAGGGGGACGATAGTGTGTCACTCAGGGTAGCTTATGTCGTGCTGCAGTAACAAACAATGCCCAAATCTCATTGGCTTAATACAAGTCCACCGTGAGTGCAGGTAAGTCTCCAGGGCAGCGGCCCTCCATGTGGTGACTCAGGGATTCAGGCAGAAGGAGTTTCCACCATCCTGGAACTGCACTCCTGGGATATACCGTCTCCTAAATCAGAACAGCAAGGGAAGAGCCAGCTGGAGGTGAAACGGGAGGTGACATGTCTCCACCTGGAAGAGATGCCCAGCGCTTCTGCTCACCTTTCATTGACTAATACAAGTCACATGGCCATGCCTAACATCGAGAGACAGGTTTGCGCAGCCTGTGCCTAGAAGTAGAGAACTGGATACTGGTGAGTGCTGGTAACGCCTGCTACAGTGGAATTCCTGGGCTCCTCAAGCAAGAGCAGAGAACTGTGCCAGGTGCCTTGCCTGCCTATGTCACATTAGCCAGTGTTCTGTGATTCCCGCTGCCACACACAAGAGCTTGTTTCCAGAGGGGGAGGAGACTGCAGTGGAAAGATTAGCCGCTCCCCGGGTTCCACGCAGGATCCGTATTTTCAATAGTACTTTAGGAGTTCACCCTCAAAGTAAATGGTTAATTCATCTTGTATCAACAGCACTGTGATTCATAATGTAAACTTGGAGAATCCTTGATGTTTTGGGCCCACATTCCTTTTAATTTGGCTCTGCATTCTTTTAAAGCCACAGTGTGCTCACTTAATAGAATGCAGCATGCAAATGCACAAGTTTTTGCCTGGAGGCAATTTAGCCTGGCTGGTTCAATGGATGTCTTCTTTCAAGTGTATATTCTTTCTTAAATTATTTACTGGGTAAACACACTTTGCATTTTCAAAAGGGAGATTAAGACTGCCTTGCTGCATACCTAGTTGAACATAAATCCACCCCACCCCCTCCTTGCCCAAAGTTAAGAAGGAATATACTTTGGACTTCCCCAAAGTTTCTTCTCTGGCCCCCTAGCTGGGAACCCCTCTTCCTGTGTTTTTCTGATTCTAAACTCTGCATTCCTTTCTCCTTTGCCCACAGCACTACCTGCCAACAGCCCCTGGCTCTGACTGTACTTCTGCTTACTCACAGATGGGGCCCACTAAGGCCAGCCTTTGTCCCGTG